TTCAGGGTTGAAACATAGGGAGAAAAACAGTAAACGGTTTGGGGGAGAAGGGTAAGCTGAATGACTCATAAAATAAGCAACTTAGATGCAATTCAACCCACATGGGAGAAAGAAGAACTGGCATGATTGAAATTAATAATTAAAATCCTTAAATGAAGAACAATTAAAGTATGTCATAATCTGCAGCTGCTTTCCAATAAAGTAAGGATTTTTTTAAATTAGCAATTTTAAATGAAGTTCATAGCTACTAATTCTATTTTTGGTCCAGCGAATTTCTTCAATTTCATTGGCTCCAAGCCTGAGATGCACTGAACGTGATTGACATTGGTTACTCATTAAATAAAAACCTCGTAAAATAAAACGTTCTCTTTCAATTCAAAGCAAATAAGACTGAAATCAATATTTTTTTCATGTATTTAAAAATTTCAGAGTTTTTGGTGATGTCAAAATTCTGTCAGATTGGTTTAAAATCTAAGTTAGACTCAGAGGTCACCTCTACTCGGAAAAGAAAAAGAACCAACTGACATTTTGTAGCTGAAGGCATTTTGTTTACAACAACAAAATCATGAGTATTTCAAGACAAACCATTATAATGCATTAAAAATCTTTGTTTTTAATTTCCTCTTTTCAGAAATTTACTTTTATTTAAACAAACTATTTCTTTTGCAGATACTTGATTCATCTGGGGCTTTTTATTTGAAAAAAAAAAAGCATTTGAAGGATATTAAATTACAAGTGGAACAAGTAAAGAAAATTCTGACATTTTTGAACAACTAAGGTTTTCGTTGGGTGATTTTTATTTAAAGTTTTGGCTGATGCATTTAAGAAGACTAAAAAGAGATGTTCTGATGATGAAATATACATTGAAATATTCACAAGCAATGTGAACTTGTCTTTTAAATATTGATTATCTTTTTTTCAGACTAATAGTTATCATTTATTTGGTAGAATTACCTGAAGGACAAGGTTAATATAACTAAATGACCTTTATAGCAGTATCAATGTGTAATAAAATTAAAAGAAGTTTAAATTAAAAATTGAGAGGAACAACTGTTTATAAACAATATATTATGAACATGGCTGTTCTTTTATAGTCTCATATAAATCTTTAGACAAAAGAGTTAAATTTTTTAATGCATTCTTAGGACTATTTTGACAAATACAAAATATATGGTTAGTGTCAAAAATATGCATATCATTGTTGCTTCAGGAGAAACAGAAAAATCCTAACATTTTTTGATTAAAATATTCGCATGATTTTTTTTTGAGAAACAGAAAAGTCGTAACATTTACTTACATTGTTCAAACTGTTGTTCTCATCTTTATCGCCATATTCACGGCGTGAATATGACAATATCCTGGGATATCCAGTGGATAAAAGTCTTGGTTGGATCCAGTGACTTGACCCAAAGAGTTGTAAGTTCAATACCTGGCTACAGCAGAGGTGAACAAAAACTTGGAGAGTTGAGTTAAAGGGAGATAACTGAAATTTCCGGAAGAGGCATGGCACGTGGAACTAGAACAATCTACCCCAGTGGACGAAATAAAGGGTTCACTTTAAACTTCCTATCCCCTGAAGAAGGCTGGAGTCTACAACGGCCGAAACGTCATGAATATGTCAATAAAGATGAGGACACCAGTTCAAACAATATAAGTAATGTAACTAATTACAAAACATCATCTCAGAAATGTAGAAACCTAAAAAGGTTCAACTTTACAGTTGCACTTTTGAAATTGACTGCAAAAAAGGAAAAAAAACGATAAAAACGGAAGAATTGGCAATGTAAGTGTTTAACACGATTTCCTTATTCATTGAAAACAAACATTCAACACTTTGCAGCTCTTTTAATCAGCAAACTCAATCGGCAACAATTCCTAAAAGAAAATAAAGATGTAGAAAGCAATCCATTATTAAAAATCATTCTTCTATCCACTGTAAGCGTCTCACTTCCAAAGTGAATTGAATTGATTCAGTCAATTTTTAATGTATTTAATTTAGAATTTTAATAACAATTATTCTATATAGCTTTCACCAATTATGAAAATAAAACCAAACACAGCTTATAGAAATGCTAACATCCAACAGTCCAACGCATCCAAGATTTTCTTGAATGAATGAATGTTTACCACTTTCAGTGTTTGTTCTTGTTTACTAAATATTCTCAATGGTTGTTCTTGATTTCTTAAAAGATCTTTATCTTAAAAATATTGTAGAGATAAACTTTAACATTTATAAACATGAAATCATTGAATAAAAAGTAAAATAGAATAAAATAAAAAACAGTTTTAAAAACTCGCTGATTTTATATAAAAGTTAAATCTAAACAGTACAATATTGTAGACACCTTGTTTTTCCAGCTAAGTTTCTTTCCCAGGGGCGTGTGTACTACACACGACCCCACCTCCCACCGGGGGAAACAAGTCTGATTGGGGGACCCGGGAAGTGCTTTGTGACCCTCGCTATCTTACTAACATTTGCCTTTTTTTCTACTTGCATTTTTGTATTAGAGTTGGGAACCTCGTATCATAATTTCTGAAGTGGGTAACAAGACTCTTGCACCGATCCTGATCTTTACTAATGTTAAATTTTTCAAATAATAAAACTTTATTTATCTGAGTATATAAAATAAATACATTATATTGAAGGATTGAAAAATTGTTTGTTTTGTTTTGTTTTACAGAAAAGTTTAAAATTTAAATTTAAAATGAATGAGTAAATATTTATGTTCATAAATTATAACTTTACACACACATATATATGCACCTCATATGATAAAATTTTGATGTGATATAAGTCATTTTTTGTTAAAAATTATAAAAGATTAACTGTGTTTTAAGTGTCACATAATTAAACCATATTTACATAATAAAATTACAAAAATAGAAATATATTTATACAGCTTGTTTTGAACTGTAATATATTTTCTCTCTTCCATATATAGAACTAGAGCCACGCAGAACTGTGATGCGTTCTGTAGCTGAATGGTAAAGCACACCGGTTACAACTTTGGTTTTTCCTACAAAGAGACATCCAGGTTCTATCTCTGCCAGAGAGTATTTATTAAGATTTCCAGAAATTTTAAGGCCGGTATACATAATATACACTGTTTAAAAGTAAAAATGGAGCGTATATTTCAAATACGCATATCCACTATAATAACGTCTGAAATAATAAAAATGCCGGATTAAAAATAAATGCATTAATTATTTTATATATATATATATATATATATATATATATATATATATATATATATATATATATATAGTAGCAGCATGGCCCGGCATTGCCCGTGCTTGATTCAAAAATCGTACGACTCATACAGCAATCGCTATCACATGACTTAAAATATTTTTGCCCTTCCTTGCCTTTAAAGGAGTGCCCTTTGCCATGCTGATGTTGCTACATGCCTTACTTCTTGCCTATCTCACACTGCGAATTTTTTCTAAGCCCTATACTAAACATTAAATCTGTTACGAAAAAAGAACTAAACAAAATGAACACAAAACGATCAGCTTTAAAAAAAGGACTCGTAACTGGAAAAACCGAATGAAAAAAGAATGTTAACAACAAATACTTTTTCACACCCAACTCAGTTTTGCGGAATCAGAATCAACGTTGAGTTTAAGCAAGCGAATGAGCCAATTGGAGTAAAGTGCCATGCAGATTTAAATTTTTCCCACTTGTGACGAATGCAGCTATTGATTTTTTTTGCATGCTAGCATGCTAGTTAACATTCGTGTCAGTCAGCTGTTGGCTCCCACGCTGGCCAATAGAATCTTCCTGCTTATTCGTAGCAGCCAGCTATAGGCTCTCACTCTGGCCATTAGAAAATAGCCACAAACTACAGGAAAACTGCCGTAGAAGCATGAAAAAATCGATTATTTCCACTATCGATGGGATTTGTGAAATGCAAAGTCGGTCTTGGAATTCCTGCTAACTCGGAGCATGTGCATGTAAATTTTGGTGCAAATCCGTCGAAAATTGCGGTCGTGCATTCGTTACACACACACACACACACACACACACACACACACACACACACACACACACACACACACACACACATCCTGCCTTTTATAGATAGATAGATATATATCTGTCGGAGGGAACATTTTCTTTATTAAGTTTTTCGAGTGTGAAGGTCGGTAGACGAAATAACCTCAGAGCTTCTACTCAAATATGGGTATCCACTAAAAATAACGTTTGAAGTAATATATATATATATATATATATATATATATATATATGTGTGTGTGTGTGTGTGTGTGTGTGTGTGTGTTAAAACAACACGCAGATGTGTTGGGCAGAGATAAGCTTAGATATGGCAAAAGTCTTTCAAATTTATAAGGCATATCTACCTTGAAAATTAGCATTCAAAATGCTCGTTTTTACCTGTGGCTTGAACTTTAATCCTTGATGCTGGTGGTAATAATGCATCTCATTCAACAAACAAACCGCTGAATCTTTACTCATCTCAGTTTGGTACAAGGATTCAATAAAAACATGCTCAATAATGATCTAACTACCAATGGTGAGTGGCATTAATTTTCTATCAATTGCTTTACGTAAAATTCCCCTTTCAATGTAGATATCAGTGATATATACACGCGCATTAACACACGTATTAACACACTCGGAGCTAATAGGCGTAATTCATGTTTTTACTGCTTTACTCATTAAGCAACAAACGATGTTAATTAATGTCCCCCTTTTTGAAATTCATGCTTTGTGTTCATGTTGTCCTTGGTGCTGAAAGTGTTTAAGCTTAGCTTATTTTGACACATAATCCAATAAAAGCAATGTGTTTAGAAAATCATGTTGCGCCAAATAGAGAGGGTCTAATTAGCTTGAAAAATCATCATACGAAGTTCTTTCTATTTGGCTGAAATACCATTCACAAGCACCCGAGGGAAATATCCAACTATTCCAGCCACCAAACAGTCCACATGCACACGCGAGCTCATAGAGCCAATGAATGATTGCCCGGCGTTTTAGTCTACATAAGTTTGCAGCGATCTTTCAGGTGCGTCATTTTCCGATTTTGTGGTCTTTTCCCATTCCACACTCCAATATTGCGGCATTCGGTGACGACAAACTCATCAACAGTGACGCCGTAGAAGATGTCATTTAAGTCGAGGCTGAGACGGGACGAATTAAAAGACGAAGGTTTGTTGATCGCCCGGATCACATCATCTTTGATCAAGAGCCAATCCAATGGACTACCTAAATAGTTGCGAGTTACCAATTCCAGGTTGACTTGTGGAAGAGCTGGTACAGAAAGAAAAGACAAAGAGTGAAATATATTGTAACACACACACACACACACACACACACAACACACACACACACACACACACACGCGCGCGCGAGCATGCATGCATATATATATATATATATATATATATATATATATATATATATATATGTATAGAATGTGTTGCTGGTAATAATTTTTTTCAAAAATTCATTGCTGGTAATAATTTTTTGCAAAAATGTATTGCTGGTATTAAAATCTATTTTTACACTTTCATTGTGTTTTGACCCCGGTTTGGGGGTTAAATATTTGGCCATAGCTGAGACTCTAACAGGTGCTACCACCCCGGGTCAGGGTGGACCAGCGATTAAGAGGTGGTTCCATGCCCCTCAAAACCTCCTGATCAGAGGCCTTGCTGTTGGATGTAGTTTATCGTCTTACCCAGGACGCCTCATTTTTTTTGGGGGGGGGTATTACACCTCTGCAGAGGTGCAGTTGGCGCAATCTGAAGCCCCAGCCAACAGGTAGATAGATAGATAGATAGATAGATTTTAAATTTGGTATATTTATAGGGGAAGAGTTCTGAATATCGGATAGAGACTATTTATAGATAGAGACCGTGTGAACACTGTTGGAAGATCGCACTGAAGCGTAAAACTATGTCGTGTTGACGCCTTAGTCTACGCACGATCTTTCCCTCTTATATAAAAACTGTAAGATTAAAAGCTAAAGCCTGAAAAAAGCTAAATGATTAAAATATGAAATAAACTGAGGGGCCAATGCCTAACATAATATAATACCAAATCAGCTACCCAGAGTTCCATGCAATGATAATCATCAGGTTGAACTGATATATATATATATATATATATATATATATATATATATATATATATATATATATATGGTAGACTTTTATTTGGAAAAAAATATCCATCTAACCGGAGCAATTCCCAGGAAGAAAAATGTATCCAAGGCAAGCGGTCTTTGTAATTAGAGAACGGAATATTAAGAGAACAAAACAATATAATAAAATAATTCACTTAATTTATCCGGTCTCTGAGTTTTATACCTTTCTATGTTCAATCTTCGGTGGATTTCGAAGTGATTTTAAATTTGTTAGGGATTTTGCTTTTTCACTTACAAATGAAGGAGGAACTTGCGCAGTTTCACCCTCATCCCTTTTTTCTTTACCTTTTATCACTGTGTGACAGCATGAAGATGGAACATATTGCTAACAAGGAGATCCATACTAAACAATAAAATGACTATGAAATCAAATCTACTTTCACAGAGAGAGAAGACAGCAGCTCAAGCAATTTTAGATTACATTTCAAGCTGTTTGTATTAGTTACCACAAACCAAGAAAGAGAAATAAAAATGAAAATTATCTATTTTTCAAATCTTGTACTTGTAAAATTCACAATCTTAAGTTTGCATGAAAACAGTTTTTCCCATTTGTAAGTCACGATTCAAAGATGAACGTCAGAATTGAATGGTTAACTTGTTACATAAAAGTAAAAGAAAAATAAAGATAAATATTTTGAAACAGAAGAATAGTAAGATCTTTTCGGTTAGAGTTAATGGCTAAGAAGAAATTGTAGGGAAGAAGACATAGCGAAAAAAACCTACACGTTGACATTTGTTAACAAACATTTACAGTTTTCATTCTATAAGATTCAACAAAGGAGTTGTTAATTTTTTATGACATCACCTTCAACGAATAGTAGACAAATCTAATGAAGAAAATGTCAAATTTAATAATTCCCATATCAAACTGAATCCAGACATAACATCACATCAGTTGTCAGATAGCGAGAAATTTCGTCTCTTACTCTTTCGGAGATAAAAATAAAACAAGTTTTTTATTCGATTTATGCAATTTTACTTTCTTTTCCTTATTGCAATTGGAAACAGTTATTTTGAACGAAATGAAAAATATTGTTAAGAGATGATAACGCTTCGAAACAACAAATGCTTTTATCATGTTCGAGATTTAACTCCATACAAACCTTTTTGTTGGAGAAGATAATGGTAGGTCGGAAGAACTTTCTGTGGATCTAAAAGATGCAGCTTGACAAAAATGTCATTCATTTCTTGGTTGTATTGTTCCTCAGTGCATTTTCCTGTAATTATCCGCTTCATAATGGTACGCGTCCACTCGGGTTCTGTAATCAGTTCAAATAGGCGAGATGCCCATTTCTTCCTAAGAAGCAAATGGAAATAAATCCAACATTAGTTTTTACCAGAAAGAAGTTTGAGTCATAGGAGCATTAGGAGACAAGGTTTCTTTACATTTGATGCCTACACTGTTTGGAAAAAACTCATGCCAATACAAACGCTATATATCACTTCAAAATGTCGCTATATAAGGAAGAAATATAAAACTTGAGAATATTCAGCAAATACAGAATGTCCACTTGTAATTTTAGTTCTTAATATTTTGATCATTTTTTAAGGAACACTTACATATCTGGCATATGGCAAGAGATTTTTCTCAAAGGTTAAATTCAAGCTATTAGATTATTGTGATACTAAAATTGTCTCGGCTAAAACAAGTGTTCGTAAATTCTTTCAAGAGAAAAATACATATTTGGAAGTTTGTATATAATCCCGTTGGTAACAGAAAAATTATAACGTGTTTGGAAAGTAGAAGCAAGTATTTCTAATCGATAGATTTATTGGTCGAAGTGAAATAAAGAGAGAGAGAGAGAGTGAGTGAGAGAGAGAATGAGTGAGAGAGAGAGAGAGAGACCGTTTTCTTAATGGTTGGTTGCATTTATAAAATGGACCATTCTGTGACTTCCGTTCGTCCGTCACACCCTCTGAAATAACCATACATTGACCGATTGAAATCAAATTTTGGGGAGAAGTGCAAACAGGTAAGAGGGGTGCACAGTACAATTGGTTTTACTAAGGTATGTAGCTTAGTATAATAAATTTTCATTAATTTTGGGGGAAAATTAAAAGATTTATTATTTAACATACAAAATACTATCACTATTTTAAAAACAATTTAATGATTAAAATAACAAATACTTATGTAATAAAAATGCAATATTATTTTTGCATATCTTTTTATGCAGTATTGTTTTTATATATACAAGAATTCTGTTTCCAGTTCACCCTATGTTTGCGAGAAATATAAACAAATCACAAGGCCAAACGCTTTAAAAAGCTGGAATTTGGCACCAGAAAGCAATATTTACGCATGGCCAGTTGTATGTTGCATGCTTAAGAGTAAGAAATCCTAAGAATTTATTCTTCGCTGTTAAAAGGAAAAAAATAAATTTTCTTAAAAAAATATTGTTTACCATGTAGTCCAATAAAATTAATTTAAATTAAAGAAATTATTAAACTCCGAAGTGGGTTTTGTCAAAGTATTTTTCCAAACAGATAAACTTATTCAAATTTCATCTATGGCTTTACATAATTGAACGAAACATAGAGTTTGTAAATCTCGACAAAAATGTTAGCGGTAACTTCAACGATGCTAAATACTGTGAGGATTTCAACACGCGTCAGTGTATTACAATAAATTCCAGTCTATATAATGTCCTGTAGGAATATTATTATTGTTACAAATAAATAAAAATAAAATATAAAATAATAATAATAATGAAAAGTATAAATAAAATAAAATAATAACATAAAAAAACTTGTATAAATTAAATAAAAATTAAAAATAATAAAAATACTCCCAGTATGCAACAAAATCTGTTCCTGTCAAAAATACGGACACCCCTTCAATGTCTTCACCACGAAGCTTGGTACGGGGAACACGTGTTCGACTTCTTTATGTGATATACTACGGAGTAAATTCTCCCCTTTATCACTTGTGTCATAAAACAATTGTAACCTAAAAATTACATACCAATACACACAAAACATAATTAAATAGTATAAAATTAACATAAAATTATGCATGTTTTTCCTGTTATTTGTGTACGTTTTATTTCTTGTCAAGTATGCTTTTATCTCCATGAACACATGGCTAATTTCTGCTGCTATGATATGAATTCTCCACATTGCCATTGTAATTTTTACAGTGAAAAACGTTAAGCCTCGATGAAAAATGACCCGAGGACTCCACTTTTTACGTCATTTTCATATTAAAGTTTTCAAAAACTGACCACGATTCTCTTGGAACGGATTGATTTCTAATATATTCTTTAAAAAAGCGCGTGCTTTTAAATTTTGCAAACACGCTTAAATTTTCACTTAACCATATCTTCGAATTTTCATCGCTTTTGCACTAACAAAACACAAGCGTTAGTACAGTCGAATAGAATTTATTCTTTATCAAGCCTAAAATCAGACTTGTCCATATTTTCCCTGATTCAATCTAAGCAGAGGGGATCATTAAGGACATAATTACTTGACATATCTAAACAAATGAAGCAAAATGGCTGTTATATGCATTGCCAATCTTGACAGGGGTCATTGTAACAAAAGTATATTTCGGAAGCGTTTCGAACAGGGATCTTGAAAGTTTTCCATATCCGGGTGTCGATGGAACGATTCAGAGGGTTAATAAATGTATGTGGTCAAACGAAGGATCATTAAATAAATCGTTGTGTCTAACAAGTAAAACTTAATTTCCAACAAAATATTAAGGCCTTGATACTCCTCATCAAACACCACCTCCCCATTAATGAAGACAACCAATTCAATAAAAAGAGATATTTATTTATTTTAATGTGTTTATTATTACCTATATTATTTATGAGATTTTCTTTTTATTCCTCTTATTCTTACTAAAACAAAAACGCGTCTAACATAGGAAGAGAACAGGAAATTAATAAAGGAATAATAAAGTGTAAAGCTTAAATTAATCTTATCGAGAAACAATAATGAAGGAAAAATACAAAGGAATTTTTATTCTTAAATAAAAAAAAATATTATTAATATTATTTTTATCCGGAGTTGGATGAGAGATCAAAAATGCCATAAAAGGGTCGATAATCTAAAACGTTTGAAGATCCCTCGTTTAGAAACGATGAAAGCCTCACGAGCATAGTAAGTAGGTAGGTAGGTATATATAAGTTTGTTAATGTATAGATTATTGTTGTATAATTTGAATATTTCATATTAATGTGTGTTACTTCAATCAGATATTTTACAATGTAATCTTGCGATTAAGTCAACTTTTGGAAACAGAAAATCATTCAGGGATCAACATACCCATTATTATCCATGAAATCCTTGAAGCACACACCAAGCGATTCGTGTTTCACAACTTGTGGGTAGACGATTGAATACAAACTAAAACCTACAAAGGAGAAGGAAAAATGAAAGAGAAAATGAAAGCATTGACAGGATTTACTTTGTTACCACTTCACGTATAATTCAATGCACTATATTATTTTCACAATAAATCTGGAATAAGGTTAAGACGCAGAAAACAAACTCACTGTTGTCAGTTGCATAGCCTCTGGGTTTAAGGGTTGAACTAGAAGTATTTGAATTTGATTGCATTTAAAAGCCCAGTTTACTAAAATTTGAAATAGTAGATCAAGTTAGGCCATTTAATTTGAAAGTAGTTAACAAATTAATGGCACCAGGCTTTCAGGAATATCCCAATTGCCCATCCTAGTTAGATTAGCACTCTTAACATTATGTTCGGAAGTGACAACAAATATTAATTACGGATTTGATCCTCATAATGTCCTAGTAATTTCTTGATCTTGAAACAGTTTATTGATATAAATCTAATATGCTTATGTCTCGTATATATCAGCCTGTTTAAAATGAATTTCCTGATTGATTTAATCAAAATATTACAATTGAACATAATTAATACAAACCCCTCTATAAAGGCTAAAATATTTGTTCCCCATTCAAACTTATTTTTATAGCTATCCTTATCTCTTGTCAATTTCTTTTAAATGACTTAAAACATTTCCAATCAATTCATTGAATTTGTTGTGAAATCTTTGGTTGATCATTTTTAATTGTTTCCTGTCATGGATTTTTAATCTTCATTACTTCTTGATAATTTAGAGCTTAAATATTACTCCCGAATTTTAAACTTGCATTTTCACATTGAAACATTAAATCTTACTTTTCGTTCGCTAACAACGTTGTTCTTAAATGCAGTAAATCTCTCAGCTTCAGTTCTGTTCAGTCTAGGTTGAAATCTGCACAAGCGTAAAATCAGAAATCACGGGTTAGAAAGTTTTTCATATTTGCCTAAAATATATAAAAAATGAACTTTTTATGTTTTCGTCTTTAAACAAATAATTTTAAAATACACATCTTTTGCGCCATTTTTAATTTTTCCTAATGTTTTGAAAATTGCTAATGTGCATAAAACTTAACATAATATATATAAATTATAGTAGACGGCACGTCTGATGATGTGGCCATAGTTTTATGAATTTGGCTAAGAGGATTTTCCAAGTTTCACAGTATTAGCTAAGGTTCGATGTAATTAAAACTTGTCATTACAGAACATGTCGACAAAGACAAATATATTTTAGCAAAAAATGTCAGAATGACAAAGTTATAAAGACAACATTAATGCGAAATGTATTTCTCATGTTCTGAAATTAGATTTAGAAGTCGTTTACCCACTGATTATGTGAGATGTAATATTTCTTCATGTGAAACAGATTGCAATCCTAATTCAATCATGGTAGTAAATTGCTGTCCACCAGTGTAAACCTTCCTCTTCAGAATGCTCCACAAGTTTTCAGCCGAATTATGGCCAGACAGACAAGCACAAGCCACTTCATCAAATGAGTGTCTTTGAAACTCATTAAGTTATTCGTAATTATTCTTCGAATAAATGTGGTGGTGTGTGGAGGGGGATTGGTTGTACATGTTTTTTTCTGAAAGCGTTTAGCATTTTGAGTCATGGCTTGAATTGTGCCTTCAAAAAACCATTGTATGTACGAGCTGTCACCTTAACACTATCTGGAACTTGACATGTGCCAATCACTTCACCACCTATAAACCCAACCCTAAACATCACACCACCTTTGATTTATTGACATCTCAAATGGTTTCCGTCAGTAGCCACCTAACCATTGTTTCGTCTGAACCTTTGAAGGTCACACGGCATTTTTCAGTGAAATAAACGGTCGATAATATTTGGTCTTCGTTCATTCTTTTTATCATTTCGTTCCATTTTCTTATGGATGTCTTTTAAAGGAAGCCTGGTGGTGACCATATATGGCATCTGTTACTCTACTTGATTTAGGAACCAACACCTTGTGCTTTTTTTGATAGTTATTCGCTCTGTCGTGTCCATAAAAATACATAAATAAAAAATTAATTATACTATCACTTTGTCGTGTCTATAAAAATAAACAAATAAAAATTAATTAGAGTGCAAAAAATAATTATAATAACACGTGACATCTTCACTATCGGACAAGCAGTTAACACGGGCAGGCCGTCAACACATGCGCCAAAGAAAATTTTGGTTCATTTTCCTTTTTCAGGCCATAATAGTAAGATTTATCTTTTAGCACTGAATAAAAATTTGACGTAAGAAAACCCCCGACATTTCTTCTATTTTCTAAGTAAATTATCTGAACACTCATTGCTAACATCTATAAAAAGTGATACGAGAAAGACTGTATAAAAAGTGATACGAGAAAGACTGTATAAAAAGTGATACGAGAAAGACTGTATAAAATTTGCTTATTCTTTATCCTATCCTTCTGTCAGATTCCGATCCATATTTGATGTACATTTGACCCTCAACTCACAATTTTACTCAGTATTACTGTCTCTCGTGTCTACAACAACCAGAGAATAAATGACTCGTTTTGTTGCTTCCACGGCTTCTGTTTTTCAGATTTACGAGTATTTCTGTATATAAAAATGTTAGGTTTTTTTAAATTATTTACTCAGTGTTATAACTCCCCTACAGTTGTCACAAAGCCTAAAAGCTTCATAGCTTGACCAATATTGGTCCGTTTAAAATAACGTCTCTCTTAATACAGAACATAAATTGACAAGATAGAATCTTCCTACTGTCCTTATTTACATCTTCATCGGATTTGCCCAGAATCTTTAAAGATTTTCTTCACAGTTCGACAATTTTTATAAATCCTAACTTTTTTTTTTTACTTCTGCAACTGTTAAAGATATTAAATATATCCGCTAAATTGTTGCATGGTTTTATGTTGTTCGGATAAAAATAAGTCACCACTTTGATTTGGGAATCAACACTTTCGATATGAATGTGTGTACATTGTATACTAAATATTTATGGGCTCCTGGAACAATTATCTCGTAAACAATATTGTCGGACTCATGTAAGTCCGGGTAAAATAAGAAACACTAACCAATTGAATATAAAACAAGCGACAACGCATGTTATTGACAAAATGAATTACATGTGTACACAAATGTAATGAAAGGAAAGTATATTGAAACTAGCTATGAGAATGTATTTGTGTGTGATAGACACGTATGTGCGTGTGTGAGTGAAAGAGTTCGAAAGTCATTAGAGGACCAAGGAAGCGAATACGCCTCGTCGGCAGTGTTCTTATATTACTTCCGACTACATCTGGAAGCAAGAGTTAAAAAAAGAGGAAAAGAGAGAGAATATGATTGTCTTTTTAAATTGAGTCTAACCGTTATCTCATCTATAGATGCCCATAAACTGTGCCACTTACTCTATAATCATCTACCTTGAGTGGCTCTTGGGCTTTGTACAGGGTGAACAACATAGTAAAAACATGGTCAAGCGTTCCTCAGCTGGTTTTGAGTAACAATAGTAATAGCGTTCATTAGTCAATAGTACTAGGTCTGAGATACATATGTAGTAACGATCAGTTAAGGAGTTTGGAGCACTCATAAGTTGCTTACTAATCAAATTTCATAGGTGTATAAATGCAATGCAATTTTGCTAATAATCAAACGACGCATGCGTAGAGTAATCGAAAATGAGGACATCGCGACAAATCCAACGCCGCATTACAGTCAAAAATCACGACGCAACGAAGACCAATCACTTTTTATATAGTCCCAATTTAGCAATCACAGTGTTGTGTGTGGAGAGACGTTAAAAGAACAATATTTTTTAATCAGAAACCTTTTTCTTCGATAAAATGAAAAGGTGGATAGAAATTTTGGGAAAATATGTAGTAATAAATGATGATAGAAAAAAAATTATAATTTTTGAAGTGAAATAAATCTAATTCATTTTGTTTTCGGCTTCATTATTCTATCTGGCGTTGTTTTTGCACTCACTTTCTATAGATGAAGTATTCTTGAAATTATGACAAAAATATTGTTCCTAACTTATATTCTCGAACCCAAAATGAAGCAGATTTCTACTGATATAAGTCAAATTGTAAAATGGAAAATTATATAACGTTTTTGCTTTTAGAGAATTAATTTTCAGACAGTGAATACAAAACATAAAACTACAAACCATTTTAATGGAAGGAAAATCCAAGCAATGATGCTTGAATACAAGATGGTTTCAGTTGTCTTAAATTCCGAATTTATACTTTCAGAAAAACAGATTTTTTTACAGTACGACGAATTCCATATGATTCCTGACACTCTGGAATTTCTTAATCTTTAACTTGAAGCTAATTTCTTTCATTAAGAATATGAGATCAGCAGGAGATTTAATAATAATAATAATGCTAATAACTGTCGTTATTTTATCTGTAATAATCGATAGATCAGGTTCTTTGATTTGTTTGAGTAAATATTTTCATTTCTGTTTGAATTTATGGGATCAGTATTTATGTTATTTATATTCAGACTATTATCCTCATCTTTGTTATCACAACGACATTTCGACCGTTGCTCCCTTCTCAGGTGTATATCCGTCTACAGGGAATTTTTGAAATGAACCCTTTCTTTAATCTACTGGTGAAGAGTGTTATCGTTTCACTCCTCATGTCTTATTTTTGTAGTTATTGTTATCTTTATTTTATTGTAGGTTACCCAGATCGATATTTACATAAAGACGACTGGGAGGCACAGCAACTGAATCGTTGTGATAACAACAAAAATGAGGACAATAGTCCGAATATAAATAGTGTAAGCAAATATTTCCATTGTTCCTTTTTTTTTATTACAGAAACACTAATATATATCAGATATTTTATGGCAAACGATTAAAATTTGATGATTGAAAAGAAAAAAGACTCAATTTGATATAAAGAACAAAATTTTCCGATTCTTACGAATACCAGCTTACGTTGCTTTTTTATCATAAAGTTGGAGTCGACTTTTAATATTCTCAAACAATATAAAAATAAACATTTCCCCAATGTTGAACATATTAGTGTAACGAGTTAATTACATAAAAAGAAAATTATCGTTTGCTTTGTACCTAATGGAGATATTTAAATATTTGATAGATATACTAAACTGTTTCGTCTCTGTCTTGATACAGTTGGTGTTAAGTAAAGTTCTCTGCCTTCGTCTAAGCAGCATGTGAACATTTCTGCATACATATGTGGCGAATTGATCGATTTTAGAACAAAATGATACCAGCTTCAATGGCGAACAAAAAATGTCATAACACCCGTCATTTTTAAAAAATTTGTTTTGTTCAAATCTAAACTGTTTTAAATTTAAACTGACGACCTTTTGCTTGTTTCAAGAAATGTTTGAACCATGATTATATAAACAATACACCCGACGAACCTATTTCTAAAAGAATTTAAGAAAAAATTCCCGTAGGAATATAAAAGGAGATTAGAATTTGCGTGAGATGAATTAACAAGGGCCACATGACGGTCGGTGTATGGCATCAATTCGTAGTTTGAAAAAACCTCAGTTGTTATGTAGCACGCGTAGAAGCAAGACATATCTGCCCACGCCATTTACTATGTAGACTACGGATGTTTGTCCACGAGAGTTAAGAGAAGAAAATGGAAACTACGAGCTCACCCCCAGGATCATAGAGGAGACCATCTGAGCTGGCCGTTTCCCCTGTGGGATATATAACAAGTGAGACCACATTGCTTCTCGACCTATCATACTACTTTTATATTCATATGTTATAATTTCTATGTTTAAGACAAATTAGGGACATGTATTTATATATTTCTTTATAATTTCTTATATGACAGAGCGGTATATAAAACTCTCTTTGAGAACAATGCATGATTGTCATTCCTTTCTCTTAGTTATTCTGTTCCGTCCGTGTATTAAGGATATATAAATGCCTATAATGGGGAAATGGAAACTGGGAATAACATTTCTTGCCTACCACTCCCATTACCATTTTAATAACTACATATCCTTTGATGCAGGCGCCTTGTTGTGGTTAACAAGCTGGTTATTATAAACGAGTAGGGAATTCAATCCTTACTAGTTGACTTTGCACCCAAATTAAGCTAAATAAAGAATTGTTTGTCATCGAAACTGTAATAGGTATACACTGTCGGTAAAAAGCCTCTGGTTCATATTCTTTTAAGACTTAAATAATATTACGTTTGATATTAGTGTATATATTTAAAACATCGGAGTTTTGTTTGAGAAATGATAACTTTAGAAGATTTAGATTTTCATAGTAAATTAAACGTGTACCACTTTTTTCTACTACAAAAATTCTTAACTCTGTACTCCATCTGAGAAGGAAGCCATGATAATCATGAAGCAAGATTTAGCGTCGAAATCATTCATACCAAACTTTCAGAGTTTATGAATCCATATGAAGTTACTTTATAAAGAAACTTAATTGAATTATAGAAAATAAATGCCCATAGACTTTGTGCCGAACATGTAATCCTGAAATTTTGATAGCCCATTAATTTTTGCCCTTAGCGAAAATACTGGATGTGCTTTCATTTCAACTAACCAAGTTTTTTCCAAGCGATTCCAGAATAAGAATCAGACAAATACTTGAAGAGTTCGGTCTTTTTAATGGTTGAGCAAAAACGGAATTCATCTTTGGATTTACACAAGACTTCAGCAACCAGAGCTGTGGCCAAACCAGACAATGGAAAGATGCCCCTGTCGACGTCTTTAAAAAATGGGTTGGCCTTGGTGTCATGGAAGAAAATGTCATGTACGTTAGGTTCCATCTTGAGAGTGTTAAGCAGAAGAAGTCTCGCTGCTTCTTGGGCCCGGTCACGACCTTTACTATCATAAGGTGACAGTTTGTATAAAACATCAACATTTAATTTGCTGCATTCCATTTCGTCGCCATTCTTGCATTACGTCATGTCTTACGGTGGGTTCTGGAATAAAAGGGGGAAACGAGAGAAAGATTTTAGATGACATTTTTAAATCATTTATAAGAGAAAAATCATGCAAATTCTTTCACGCTGTCAAATAAATAAATAAATAAAATAAAATAAGAATTAAATCCAGACAAAATATAATAAAAATTCATGCTTTCATAGCATTTTATAAGAGCATTTATGCAATTTAATTTACAAATTTTAAAAGGAAATTCACTTTGAAACATTTACCGCTTATCGAAGATTTGAAGAAACGAATCGTCAAACGCAGAAACAGCAATTAAAATTTGAAATTCTTTAACTTTTTCGGACTCTGTAAGCGACTTCCTTCATTGGACAATGTTTGTCCTGCCACTTCAGAAAGCAGAGACTAGAAAAAAAAATGTCAAACCCTAATGTAGTAGTCAGAACTTTGATACTATGAACTGAATGGGAGTGGTTTGAACTATGGGGTTCAAACCACTCCCATGTGTAATCCTGACATGGGCTGTCTTCGTTTAAGTTCTTAATATAAGACGGAAAGCGTGCGTGAATAGTAGCGTTGCCGAAATTGAGGAGTGAAAATGTCTTCCGTTCCCAGATTCCTTGGCCTACCATGACTTCAGCAAAATGAGACGAACCATGGAGTGATAGAATACTGGCCAACATGTTGACATCCGTTCACTCTCTCTTTCTTTTCCCCCAAGAACTGATGTATAATGCTGTGTCCCTCGTTGAAATAAAGCTAGTAAAAAGAAATCTAAAAACCATTGTGCAGTGCAACGTTAGGGTCCCTACTGAGGAATTGCCACTAGAAACTAAGGGCGACACGCAACGCAACACTCCGATCGCCTAACGATGATGTATTTAAAATTTGAGGTTATTTTTTCATGTCCTGTGATGGTAACAGAAAACTGCTACTGTAGCTGAGGAGGCCATGATAAAGATTTGAAATAGGGCAGATTTCTGATGGGTCACTACAAATCTCTATAAAAAAAAGCCTATTTTTTAAAATTACATTCATTTTGTTTCATATTACTTCACGTACTTTACCTTTAACTGAAATCCTCACTTTAATAAATATAAATTTTATGATGACTTCAAAGATTTTACAAGTATTTGCGGATAACCTGTGCATACCATTTATACATGCCAGATAATTAAAAGTTGCCTCTACTTTTATCTTCAAAATTAGTTCACAGTTTTATTAAGTCGATAGTTTTGATTGCTTATAGCAGAAAGGGAAAATAAGTTACAAACAAATGGCGGTGTAAAAGAAAATCTCCATTATCGTCTGCCACACACAATGAATATTATCAGCGTGAGCTGAGGTAATAACAATTTTAAAAAAAAGCTTAAAGAAATTTGACAATTTTAGCGTTGTTACGGAATTTCATGAAAGAATATTTTTCTTTGAACAGCCAATTTTACACCTTGAAGCCAGTTTGAAATAATTCTCCAATTAAGCAATTTTGGTACGAAAGTGTGCCATGTGTTTTTCATTTGTGTGCGTGTCTTGTAAGCTTAATGAATAACGAATACTCACAAGAGAAAGGTGTTTGATCTTTTGTGTTAGGTTCTATTTAAGTCGAGGTTGCCATATTGCGACTACATTCGTTCAATGCAGAACAGTCGACAAAGCACGATTTTACATTTTTAATCTCGAATAAGTGTCGTCATCAATTAATGGGGGGTATGTGCAAAATATTGATCTCGAGTCTATTTTATTTAGATTGTTTATTTCGCAACACAGCTATACAGTATTTTTACTTACTTCTAAAAGATTTTTAGTGTTTGTAAAGAAAACCAAATTAAGAATTGATAAAAGGAAGAAATTAGATTCAAATTATACTGAAAACATTATTAGAAAGTATTCTATTAATTAATCAATTTCAATCAAAATCAAATCTTTTCATTGAAAATTATTAATATGTTATTCATAGTGCTTGGATACCAACTTACGATAAAATTTAATTAACTTATAATTCATGGAGAAAGAGAAAAATGATATAGCATTTAAAACATATATCAAATTATGCACCTGCAAAATTTCAGCCTTTAATCATGTGTATTTATTTTTTCTGTTAAATATCAGTGTGCATTTTATGTTTACTACTACGTCCGTGTGTCAGGTATATATAAAGATAAAGTTTAGCAAGTAGTCAGTCCGCGTGACAATACGAGTAGCAGACAGATGTAACAGTTCGAGATGAATTATTAAGAGGAATCATTTTAAGAAATCTACCTATGTCTAGTCTATTCCCTGAGGTACGAAAGCCGTCTCCATAACTGGACTAAAAAACCTTTTTGTAAAACTCTTCAACAATTTCTGGAATATAAACATTTGGGATTTACGTTTTATCTGTTTTTTTTCTTTTCCTTTCCTTTTCATTTGTGAACGAGTATTTTTACAAATTTTCACCCCCTTAACCTTCCACAAACATATTCAACGTTCATGCTTTCAATTCCTATAATACCACAGCTGCTTTCCTGTTGTCGATTCTTAGATTACAATGAATCCCCTGTCGACAAAATAGACTCCATCAAAAAAAATTACCTGTCAAGTAAATGCTTAACAGACATAAATATAAACGACTAAAAAAAGCATATTTCAGAATTAATTAAATGATTAGAGACTATAATATATATATATATATATATAGTTGCGGCCAAAATGTTCAGAACGGCATTATTTTCGTCAGAAAAGTAGGTATAAGTTTTTATCAAAGTTGTTTTATATTCTATAAGTTTCACAGACAATAAATACGATATTAATTGTTATTGCCTGAGATTTTGGTGTAATTTGAGAGGATAATACAAAAGTTATGGATAATTTAGTGATTTACTGCAAAACCCATGGCGGCCAAAATGATCAGAACGGTTGCTTTTACTCCGTATTTTAGTCTATTTAACCGGCGAACTCTATTTTTTTTAATTTGTTTACGTGACAGTTCGTTTACTAAACATTAGTAAGAATATTTGCAGTGTACTTTGTTAATATAATGCTATTTACTCCGTTACCAATTCGTCAGCAGATTATTAAGCTTCGAAACAAGGATAATTTAAGTATTGGGTCTATTGCAAAGATTGTTAATAAGTTAAAAAGTGTTGTTTACGGTATTCTTAAGGTCTACGCTGATTGTGGTTAGTGTGAAGCAAGAAAGTCTACAGGTAGGCCAAGAAAAACGACCAAGAGAGAAGATCGTGTTATGGTAAAGTTGGTTAAAAAGGACAGATTTAAAACTGCTGCTGCTGTTTCTCGGGAAATGAGCATTGTACTGAAGAAAACTTTATCTCGAAAAACTGTCTCGTCGTTTAGTTGAACATGACCTACAAGCAAGAGCACCTGCAGTGAAGCCACTGATCAGCTCCAGGAATAAAAAGTGTCGTCTTACCTTTGCAATGTGTTGTGGTCTCAAGAAAAATGGCAAACGGTGCATTTCAGTGATGAATCTAAGTTTATGTTATTTGACTCAGATGGGAAAAGGTACGTTCGTCGTAAAATAGGTGAAAAATTGTCGCCTAAATGCCTTAAGACTAGTGTTAAATTTAGTGGAGGAAGTGTCATGGTTTGGGGGATGATATCTGGAGATGGTGTGGGCCCTTTGGTGCGATTACATGGAAAGGTAAATGCAGGAGTTTATAAACAACTTGTAAAAGATCATGTCTTGCCTGTGCTGAGAAATTCAACTAAGCAACCACCCATATTCATGCAGGACAATGCCCCATGTCACAAGGCTAAGGTGGTCATGAACTTCCCCAAGACTGAAAAGGTTATTGTTATGGATTGGCCTGCACAAAGCCCAGATCTCAATCCTATTGAAAATGTGTGGAATATTCTAGGAGAACGTTCGAAAGCCAAAAATTCTAAAACAACCAAGCAATTATGGAATGCCCTTCAGGAAGAATGAATAAGATCACCCAACAAGAAATTGAAAATTTAATTTCCTCATGCAGTCGAAGATGTCAAAGTGGGATTGAAACTAAAGGGCTTCACACTAAATATGAAATAATTCCAGTATTCTCTGTCATTTTTTATTATTTTTTTATTTTTTCAACCGTTCTGATTATATTATCGGCCTTAACCAAGCACTTGTCATTCCAAAGAATTTAATTTCAACAATCCAAGAAAGCTCAGTATTTCAAACCACATCTCTTCATCTACTTTTGAATGTATGCGACCGTATAACCCTTTGAATGTATGCGACCGTATAACCCTTTGAATGTATGCGACCGTATAACCCTTTTGTGAGTAACGAACTCTCTTATCTTTTGTTTTAAACATTTTAAATTTCATTTTGTGTCAGATCATTTATCTGTAGTATGAACGTTTCTCTTAATGACAAAACAAAAGACTTTTAAATTTTCTGATTTATTTTCCTGAAACGAGCTACTCACACAGCTTAAAGTATGTAAATTCGTAAATAAGTTCCTTATATTGTTTTGCTAAAATTACCTACGTGTTTCCTTGTTATTTACCATGCTTCATCAATCTTCTTGATGAAGGTAAATCAACTGTTCATTTTAACACCTAAGACCCACGCCACTATAGGCCCAACTATAAAGTGCTCGAACTGTAGTCGATTTATGACACGCTGAAAGAGGAAAAGTTAAGAGACGTTTACAAATGTCTTTAAAATCTTTTGATTAGCAATTTCAACATTGGACACATAATTAAATAGTTATAATAATGACTTAAATTAAGTTAGAAGACATTGCTAAAGATAAAGCCTGCTAAGTCTGCGCATATTTCGTTCTTATTTCAAGTTGTGAAGTAGATGGTAGTCAGATGGAGAATAGGGAGGGTGATCAACAAGTTCAAAGACACAGTCACGGATTGTCTCTGAGAGAGAGAGAGAGAGAGAGAGAGAGAGAGAGAGAGATGTCATCATTCCAGATGATAGTCAAATCAGGAGAATAGGGAGGGGGATCAACAAGTTCAAAGACACAGTCATGGATTGTCAAATCAGGAGAATAGGGAGGGGATCAACAAGTTCAAAGAGAGAGAGAGAGAGAGA